TTTTGTGAGGCCAGTCCTAGAGTATGCGCCATTGGTATGGATGGGAGCAGCTCCAAGCCATCTGCGCCTTCTCGATCGAGTGCAGAGACGCACCCTCCACATTCTTGGCCCTGATGTCCTCCTCCAGAGTTTGCCAGCAAGGAGATTAGTCGCCGCCCTCAGCTATATGTATAAACTAGGGCTCAAACGGTTAGTCCGATTAACCGGTTGCAGACCGGTTACGAAGAATTAACGGTTAACCGATAAAGATAACGGTTACGCAGTAACTTTTCAGTCAATTTTATTAAGTATCAGGTCGTTGCAAAGTATGCACTTTCGCAGGCTGTCGCACGCGTACGCAATTTCTGGGCTGTCAACTCGGTCATATCTGGTCTCTTCGTGTGAGAGTATGTATGAATGAGCATGCAAGAGAATATACATGTGTGCGTTGTACTGAATAGGGTACATTTTTTGAATAAGTATAGCCAAATATACGGTTAAAAAAGAGTCCGCAGGATTGCCGTGGCTTATAGGTTATAACCGTTAAACCGACCGTTAGCTTAGCAGTTAACCGTTGGGGGTAAAACCGTGACCGTTTGAGCCCTAGTATAAACTGATGTGTCTGGCAGGGCCACCGCAACTAACGTCGCTGGTCCTCCCACAGCTTCCTCCACCAACATGTCCTCGAACTCGGTCCGACCACTCGGTGCGCCACGAGTCTCAGCTACAGAACGTCCTCCTGGCTTCCTCTCCTGATTACGTGCGACGCTGCTTCCCCTACAGCATCATTGACGAGTGGAACAGCTTGCCCCCAACTGTGCTGCAGTCTCCGCCACACCTGACGTCCCTCCAGTCGTTCAAGGGCAAGGTGCATCAGCACCTACGACAAAGCCGCTGGTATTGGGCTACAGACTCGCTGTAACACCCCATATACCGTATTTCCGCAAATAAAAGACCGTCCTCGTATACAACGCCTTCCTTGAATACAAGGCCGGGGCAGGGGGCGATTGAAGAAATACAAGACCGTGTCCGATTAGAAGACCGGGCCTACTAAAAAATAGAAGACCGTGCTCAAACTGTGGGAAAAAAATAGAAGACCGGGGTCAAACTGGGTTGAAAGAATAAAAGACCGTCCTCGAATACAAGACCGTCCTCAATTATAAGGCCGGGTTAGGACGAGTTTGAAAAAAATAGTAGACCGGCCTACTATTTGCGGAAATACGGTATCCAAAATCAGCTCCCTCCCCCTCACTTATCTATTTACATGTGTTTCGTAATCCCGTCCATGGTGCACTGGATAGCGCTAACGCCGAGACCCTAGGTCGGCGTTGCTAGTCCCACCTCACAGGCATAGGCTCCCTGAGAGCTCCTACTAGTACATTGTCCGTCTTTCTCCTTTGTTGTCTCGATCATTATTTTCTTTTTGTCTTCTTCTTCTCCTCCCTTTGTTATGGTCTATCAGTAGGAGGTGCATTCTGTAAAAAAAACTTTAAAAACAAAACAACAACCCACAGCCTAGACATAGCCTCAGGTTACTTAGGATATCACTAGCCCCTCCTTAGTCTTACCAAGAGTACATAACCCCATGTACTCTTGGTCTTACTCAGCTACTGTCCTAAAATACATGTACTATCTTGGACATGGAAATTCCGGGTAGGGGAAAGCGGATTATGCCGGCATAATTTTTGGCATAATCAGGTCCTTTTTGAGAAGGAGCATAAAATGGCATCCGAATAACAAGGGCAGATGCCCAATGAGGCTGCTATACAGACCTGCTATTGAAGGACCATACATAGCACTTCTTGTCGATTTGTAATAATATTTTAGCAGCCACTATAGGAAATTTCCCAAAAGTTCAGCGTTTGCTTGTGAATTTGGATTTCTCTTGCATATTATTGTCTTATACTTCCACAAATCTCCCAGAGAACATCAGGACAATGGTCTGAGTCCTTTTTTTATGACGATTATCTGTTCTTTTGGTCTTCTTGGTGAAGCAAATAGAAGCATATTTGGCTGTTTCCTCGAGCATCCTGCCAGCATCCTGGTCATTTTCCGAGCATAATCCGCTTACCCCTAATCCCGGGTCGAATGACCGGGGACAGCATCCTCAGTGCGTACAGAACGTTGCATGCAGTGCACATGTTGATCCGATGCAAACACACATAAATGAATTTGTGTACCGTATGCGTACTCACTGTGACAAGGCTGTATGGCCCGCCGTGGAGCCGCTTGAACCGTCCGACCGGATTTCCATGTGGACGACAGTAGCTCCTGTTGTCTTGTGTGATTCCGCTCTTTGCCTGCCCTCTCCAGTTGTAAAATTTCCAAAATACTTCAGCGGACTGCCCCCCCCCCCCCCCCAGCACTTCAGATGGTTGACCGTACCGCCCTAAAATAGCTTCCGACGCCCCTGTTGGGTGTATGTTAAACTGTCACTCTTATGCGGTTCATGACACTGACTCACATGCTACACCAGCCAGCAAGGCACTACGTTCAGTTAGCCTGTTAGCAGAACTATGCCGTCTTATACGAGGTGATTCGTCATTATTTAACACGAAAGTAAAAAAGCCTTCTGTAGGGTTCGAGGTGCGAATCTTTCCATTTCTTCCTCAGAGAATGGAATACGGATATCCCTAGATTGCAATGGTGGGTTGTTCATTCACATTCTCCATCGTGTTGGGAGGCAGGTGGCAATTGAAAAAAGGCAATTTTTCCACATTCTATTTTGTGTGATCATTTCTTAAGGTGGCGATCTACCTTCAGGGGTCAAAATTTTGTGAAATTTTCAACTTGCTCTAATTTCGTCCAATGCGGTGTCAAATTGCTCGTATAGATCCCAGACATCATCTCTGAAAATTTGAGTGAGATTGCTTTATCCATATGGCTGCTATGAGCTTGCAAAGACCGAATGTAACATATCTTTGACTCGCACAATTGCAACTTTTTGGGGGAAAACGTAGAAATCAGTCTTTTCACGGTAAATCCTTGTGGATTTTGTTCAAATTTTCTGTGCTCGTCAGAAATACCACTGCTGACTCATGCCATACCAATACGCACATATTACGTCATCATGGACACAGTGCGCATGCGCAAATCAATAATTCGATAATTTGTGAAGAATTCAAACAATTGTGTTTGGAAAGTCTATTGGAGACGTCTCACGTCGTCGCCTGTCACCAAGATCGGGTGGAATGAGTACTGTCCGTCGTCTTGGTTGTCCGAAGCAGCCTATATGACTGCCAGAAGCTCTCGATATCCATCTATCCGCTGAAAATATCCCTGACGTTGACGACGCTGTTCAAATTTATTGGCAAAAAAATTGCCAAGCGAAGACGTATTTCAACTTCATCTCCAACTCTGACTACTCTGACGATGACGATGTCAACAGCAGTTCTAGCTATTGTGGTGATTAGTTTTTCTCTCTCTTTCGGCGTCAGGCAGTGAGTGCAAAATATAGCCTACTGGAGTTAGTCTGTGAAATATTGAGTGATTTCTGCTATTTCTGGTCAAATCAGTATGCTGTCAGCTGTACCAGTCCACATCCCATCGTAGATCTACTAAGCGAGCAGGCAAACCCAGATATTTGCCTTGGGATTTCATTGTGTGTGGTGAGAAGAGAAGTCCATTCAGTTCTGAGAAATTCAATTTCAAATTGGAAGTCCACAGGCCTGTATTTAGTATGCGCCGAATTCATCACCGCCAGTGACGCTTTGCATAGTTTTCAATATTCTACTGCCCATATATACTAAGACCTGTGGCGGCAACGCGATCCTATTCAATCTGTGGTCATGTTCTCCGAGATGAGTTCAGAAGCAGACATGTGATCTGCTACGCTGGACCTGAGGCAATTTACCAAAGTGGCAGTGCTGCAACCGCATGCGATCGCCGTGATGTGTGACGGAAACGGCATGGCTGCACCCTGGATATGCCTCATTCATCAGCACCTATATTGCCATACCCATGGAGAGAGGCCACCAGTGAAGGCTGGGTTTCCGACTTGATTTTGCCTGCAATGATCCTGATTGAACAAGCCCTTAGAGAAGAAATGAAGACTCTAGCTGAACACTGAAACCAGATAGCATCGCGTTTCTGCTCGGCACCGCACTAAGTAACACCATTGTGATACAACCAGGAAGAGCTGGGAACTTGTGGGAAGTGACAAAGAAGTCAAGGAAGAAGTAAAGAAGACTGAAGAAGAGCATTACTAATCATCAAGGAGACCAAAATGAGGTCACCTACGAGCCAGATGGCTTCTGATGTGAAGATTTGTAGGCAGGTAGGCTGGAATTGGATAGACCTTTTTTGTGTGTTTTTGGTAACTTTTTAGCCTATCCCGCATTTTTCTACCACGATTGCGGCAAAGTGGTAGGTGCTATACCCCTAAACCTATACATTTCTGAGCTCTGTGATGCATCAGCTAGTTCGTGAATGTCTTCGTTTAG